GACAAAATTTTAAAAAATAGGACACGAACACGGTAGGAATTCACCAATAAAATATTTTTTATATATATTCAAAATCCACAATACCTTAAATTTAATCTTCCTAAAAAAATATTACAATAAAAGAAATACTTCAATTCATCATCTAAGCAATTAAGAACCTAACAAAGTTATTAACAAAATTAGACAAATAAGATCAAGTATATTTCCAACATGTTTAACATACTTCATTCATCAGTTTACTGTATGTAGTTTTTTTTTTAAAATTTCAAAATTTTACTTTTAAACATTTAAAATTACATTAGGTACCCCTTTTTTCTAAAAAAAAAATTACAAAATATACCCGCCGTGTCCAATATGTGTTATCCGCGAGTCCCCCGTGTGTCCCATCCGTGTACACCCCATGTTTAATAAAAAATAATTTTTGGACATTTCACAGAAGTGTCCGTGTCGGACACGAGTGTCAGTGCTCAGACATGTGTTCGACACTAGTACGGGACCCCCCGGGTGGAGTGTCCATGCTTCATAGGTGTTGATTTAAGTGAGCAACCCTAATGGACATGCTGTCATGTAATGTTTAGACAGACCTTGGTAAGAACTAAGAAGTTGAGATTGTAAATGAAAGGCTTAATATGCTATTAGACGGACAGTCTCTATAAATGCGGCTTTCTAGTGGAAGCTCAAATGTGCAAGGCCCTTGAGATTTCTAAAAATTCAACTTAATATCAAAATAAATGTGATCATTTTGCATTTTGAGTTGCAAAATTATCATTAAAGTGCTTCAATCAAGTTTCTTCAATATATTTTTTTCAATAGATATCATAGCCAATCCATTCTATATCTCTTGTGACATCGTCGACCGTATGTAAGATTTGATTAACTTCAACTTTCAAAATCTTCTCTCACAATTGTAGTTGGATAGTCAATAATACTCTATATGCAATCTAATCATTTAGAAAACAATAAACTAGCTTTTTTTATTTATTTATAAAATCCAATACTTTAATTTTTTTTTTTTTTGTTCCTCTTGGTAAAACTTTTCTTAATGTCATATCAATATCAGAAACTATTTCATAATTTAGGAGATTTTTATTTGGGAGAATGTGACAGTTGATTGCGTCCATGAGTTAAAAATTAGGTTGTTTGGATTGGGGATAAGTGTTTTTTTTTCAAGGGAGGAGACGAAAACAAATTTTTGTTACCATACAAATTATTGTATTACATATATAATTTGATAGTATAAATAGGTGTGTTTATTGCCATATTTGTTTTTAAAAGTTATTTATTATCACAAATTTACATGATATGTAAGTGTGTGTATTGTCTTTTAATTATGGAAATTATGGCATGAAATGGATATGTGTTTAGCTTTTAATTGGTTACGAGACCATGGAATTGAGATATACTATACTAGGAAAATGATTCTTGCACCGAATAGTTGAAGTGAATTGCTAGATAATAAACCTAAATTTGAGACCCTTCCAAATTTGAGGTGCACCGAATAGTTAAAGTGAATTGTTAGATAATGAACCTAAATTTGAGACCCTTCCAAATTTGAGGCCCTAACTACCCTAGGAATGGCAAATTCCCCATCCCCGCCCCTTCCCCGCCCCTTTTATAGCGGGGATGAGGACCCTTTTATGTAAACTGGGATGGGGATGGGGATAAATTTTGAAAATCCAGCGGGGGCGAGGATGGGGTAAACCCACCCCGATTAAGTATTAAATTACTAATATATCCTTACATTTAATAATTTATTACTAAATTAGATTTATTATATATATGAAAATAAGAAAAATTATGTTTTTTTAAAAAATAATATATGTTAATCGGGGCCGGAGCCGGAGATAGGGATAAGAGGTGGGGGGTGGGTATGGGGGTGGTGGTGAAATTTTAAACGGGGATGGCGGCGGGGACGGGGATTGAAAAATTCAGCGGGGATGGGGATAGAGAATGAAATCCCCGCCCCGCCCAGCCCCATTGCCATCCCTAAACTACCCCTAGGTCGCCTATGCCGAGGATTGCCCTGCAAATGTATATAAATTACCATTATTATAATCAAGGGCGGATCCAAAGGTGGGCAAAGCTAGGTGATAAGCGCCGAATATTACATATTCAAGCGTCATTTCTTGCATTAGTTAAGTCCATTATTAGAGGATAATGTACATTTTTAATTTAGTTGTGTATTTCTTTCTGATTTCAGGTATTTTTCCCGAAAATGATCAAAGAAGCGGTTTTGACAACTTTCTGTTGAAATACGTACGCCGTGTCAGGGAGTCATCTTCAGGACCTAACCTCTTCAGTTGCCGTTTTTGTGAAGTTCGTGGCTTAGTGTTCATAGCAGAAGCCGCGTCAGTACTTCGGCTCGGAAAGGCTTACGAGAAGCCTTGATTTAAAGTTGCAGTGGCAAGCCTCCGCGGGCACCCGCCACGCCACCACGGGCGCCCGTCAATTCCCTCATCTCTCTGCCTCATTTCGCGGAGCCTTGATCAACGCCCGCGGGAGCTCCAGCATCTTGGTCCCCTTATCCTTCTTTTGTGTGGTTTAGCTTCATGCAGAGGGGGGAGCTCGGGATTTTGGGTTTGGGGAGTTGGTTTTAAGGGTATATAGAGAGTGAAAGCTCAATATTTTGGGATATCTCACATTTGGCTAAGTTCTAGAGAGGGAAAGAGTGAGTTGAGAGGGTCTTGGGTGTTCTTGAGCTTAAGGAGTGAAAATGGAGAGGGGTTCTTTATCTTCTCCTCCATTCTTTGTCTTCATGGGTAACTAACTTCTTATCTAGGGAGGTGATGAAGCCCCATTTTGTAAGCATTGCTTTGTTTTGATTTATATTTGAGGTATAATGTATATATGTAACTTTTCCATGAATTAGAGCACTTCATATTACTTAGGGCTCTCCTTTGATAGATTCTTCTTGATTTCTATTTCACGTGCTTTTATTATGAAATTAAGGGCTTGACAATATATGGCTTGGTGATCATGTCTAAGGTTGCATCCTAATTTAGGTAACCAAAACATGTAATGCTTTGATAGATTATTCTTGTATCTTGTTTTCATATATTTCTTGAAGATAACGTATCAATGTTATGTTGTTGCATTCTATGGTTATATATATATATTTCCCCAAGTAAATCATATCCTAGCATGCTTATTGATGGGTAGTGGATTCACTTCCTTAGTCCCTTTTTAATCGTCTTTGCCTGTTTACTTCTTAGCATTAGTGTTTTATGCACTTTTCAATTCATAATCTTAGTGACAATTCAACAAATCCTCTATATCTCCCTTTGTCATTCTAAAAATGACTCTAGACACTTAAGTTGCCATAAACTAGCAGTCCCAATGGTTCGACTTACCCGACCAATAGCCCTGTTTTATAATGATTTGTGCTATTGCAAAGGTTGATGTATAATTGACAACCGATCACTGGGCTTCAGCCCACCCCAAAAAAAAAAAAAAATTGCCATACTACTTTAAGCCCAGTCCAAAATAAAAAAATAAAAAAAAATAAAAAAATAAAAATAACCGAATAATGATAGCCCAGTCCAAAGTTAGTCCAGTCCAAAATTAGTCCACCCCATTCAGAAAGGCTGGATCCGCCCTTGATTATAATATAGTAGTTAAAATAAGTAAAAATATCTAAATACTGTTTTGGGAAGTAAATATTTTTCTAAAACAGGTTTGACACTGTATTATAATAAAAAAATTACCATATAAATTACCATATAAAATTCCTAGCTACTAAGTTTAAATATAAAGAATTTTTATTTCATTTAAAAGGGTGGGGACGGAAATAAATTATTGTATTACATATATAAATTGATATTCTAAGTAGGTGAGTTTATTACCATATTTGTTTTAGAAAGTTATTTATTACCGTAAATTTACACAATATGATCGCCAAGAATAATCTATCAAAGTATTACATGTTTTGGTTACCTATTACCGTAAATTTACACAATAGGTAACCAAAACATGTAATGTATTGTCTTTTAAATATGAAAATTATGATAAAAAATGAATATGTGTTTGGCTTTTAATTAGTTACGGGTCCGCCATTACTGATTCTGCAAATGTGTATAAATTACCATTATTGTAATATAGTAGCAAAAATAGGTAAAAATATCTAAATATTGTTTTGGGAAGTAAACATTTTTTTAAAGCATATTTGACAATGTATTATAATAAAAAATTCCTTTTAAAAATATTCCTAGCTACTGAAGGGCAGGGACGGTTTCAAATTATTGTTATCATTCAAATTATTGTATTACATATATAAATTGGTATTATAAGTAGGTATTTATTGTCATATTTATTTTTGAAAGTTATTTATTACCATAATTTTATGCGTATGGTCTTTTAATTAAAAAAATTATGGTCTAAAATAGATACGCGTATATGTTTAATTGGTTATTGGACCATTGAAAACAAAGATATACTATTATATTAATGAATCTAAATTTGAGGGCCTTCTAAATTGGAGACCCTAAACGAATTCCTATCACCTATGCCCAGGACCGGGCATTGCAAATGTGTATAAAGTACTATTATTATAATATAATAGCAAAAATAAGTAAAAATATCTAAATATTATTTTGGAAAGTAAATATTTTTCTAAAACATATTTGACCCTGTACATACGTAACTTTTATACATAACAAGTTAAATATTCTAATCATTATAATGATCTAACTATCTAAGTGAAGTTGTAATTGGGCTTGAATCCACTGCAGTCTACATACACTCTGCGCCATTGACTTTCCCATTCGCAAATCACAGAGTCTTGTGTGTCCACTTGTTTTACAAGTGACAGTTTCTGATTTTAGTGCCCTAAAACATCAATCATTGGGCTTTCGTTCCTTTAACAAAAGGGCAAGTGAATTGATGTGATAACACCAACGCTAACAAAATTCACACCACCCTAATCCCGCTGAAAGACACGTGTAAGAATATAATAACTCAAGAATCCGATATCACACTAAATCCATGAGATAGCGGGTTACAATAATATTATTCCTCAATAGCGAACGACACTCACAGACCCACACAGAAATCTCCTTTCCATTCCTCTCCTCGCATAAGAGAAATATAGAACGCGTTATTTACAGAAATGATATAATAGGATACCAATATCACTTCACTTCCAAATCCAAATGTACTGCGTCACACACACAAACACACATATATATGTATATGTAAATATGTGTGTATATATGTATCACGCGAACACATGATCGGTATGTATAATTGAATTGAATTTTTGTTTCATACAGAATTCGAAGTAATGGCGATTTCTGGTACAGATTCGGAATTACATGTTGTGAAAGCGAGTCCTCAAATTGAAGTAGAGTCGGTGAAATGCGAATCGTGTGGATTCACAGAGGAATGCACTTTGGCCTACATATCGCGGATTCGAGAAAGATATAATGGAAGGTGGATTTGTGGATTGTGTGTTGAGGCAGTGAAAGATGAGGTTTTGAGATCAGATAGGCTGATAACTACAGAGGAAGCTCTTGATAGGCACATCGATTTCTGCAACAACTTTCGATCTTCGAGTCCGAATTCCAGTGCTATGGAGCATCCGATCTTCGCCATGGGACGCCTTCTCAGGAGAAGTTTGGATTCTCCGAGGGCTCTCCGATCGACGCCGAGTAGTCCTCGTCGGGACCTTCGTCGTCCGACCTCACTGCTTCGATCGGAAAGTTGCTTCTCTTCTCTGTCTCGGTGATCACCATTGCAAAATTCATAGGTAACTTTGAAACAGAGTAGATATCAGAAAACTTATGAGTTTTGAATTATTACAGAAAATTGTTATAATTAGTTAATGCTAATCCTAGGGCTCTCTGTTTTTAATATAATTTTGTTTTTATTTCTCTAATTTTAATTTTTTTTTAATAAAAAAGATGTACTGTGAATGATATGAATGAAAGTGCTGTAAATATAGGAGGGAATAGATGAAAGGAAACGGAGGGAGAAGGAAAAGTGAGTGGGGGAGAGGATCAATAATCCTTTGTTTGGGATATATATATATTTTAATATATTGAAAATAAATAAGTGAGATAAAAAGGTTGGAAATGAAGCTGCTCTATCCTTAAACTTTTTTTTCTCAAAGAGTGGAAAAAAATGGATTTAAGGAAAAATAATTTTGAGATTATCTAACTCGAGAGTAAAATTAAAAGTGATTTTCTCTTTTATTCTTCTACTTTAACAAAATAAAACATTCTTGTATTTTCTTCTCTCTTGTAATTAAAATTAAAAGGTTGGCAACGGTATCGATAATCCTTCCTTTAGAATTTTTTTTTAATTATTTAGAGAAAATAAAGTAAATAATGGAAAATAATCTCTTATATCCTGTATGATTTTCTCCAAGCCTCAACTTTGGTGAGGGTGGACAACATGCCATTCAAGTCTTCCACAAGAATAATCACTATATCTTCTCTTTTAAAACTATAAATCAAAGCATTAAATTTCAAATTACAATATTTATCCATAATATGGTAAATCATTTTCATAATTCTGTGTTTTTTATGTTCTACTCTTTTTTCTTAGCGTGTGCTAGACTTGCTCATTTATATGAATGAGATTATCGACTGCAATTAGCTGTCAATGCATATATACGAAATTCATTCAAACTTGAACTAAGTTTTTTCCAATTTCAAGACACTAATTTCATGTTACCGAACATAATTAATGGAACCACAATCAACGGTTGTAGTTCCCAACTCCAGATCATAACACTTCTGTAGATGATAAGTTAATTTGTAGATGTACCTCCATATGATTTTTAAAATCAATAGAGTCGTCCAATTTTCTGAACAAACCAGGAATTATTTAAGACATGTATATGTAGTGTAATTAATTATCCATATTTTCTGCAGAGTAATTGATTTTAAATCCATTTTCAGGTGGACCAGTTGTATAAAATGACATGTTTAGTGGGTGCCTAAACTAGTGAAAAACTGAATACAGAGGCAAAAAACAATAAATGGTGACAAAGAATGAAGTCGATGGAAAGGTTTTTCTGAAAAGAAAGATAGCAGTGAAGAGGATGCTAAAAAGATTTATACCCAGCACACTGCTTTTGTTCATACGTATACTATATATATATATATATATATATATATACTCGACAAATCTTAGTGTCTCACATGTAGTTTGATACGGTCATGACTGTTTTTATTGGTTGTTGAATGGGGAAGGAGAGATATATTTAAAACCATGTCATGACAGACTTTGTCTGTCCTAACCAATTTACTATTAGTACATGAATTCCAATGGAGCTTGAATCAGACAATTCATATCGTTATCACGAGAGCAATGGCCATGTTAGGTCAAGTTCTGGACTTGTATGGTTGAAAATCTTCTCTGGTCTGAATATACAAAAATATCAAACATGTGGGGTCGAAGTGTCGAACTGTTGTTTATTTGTTTGATTTGTTCCACAGCTGATCTCAGTGTGTTAGGAAGTCGTCTTGTCTTGGATGCTACAACAAAAGCAAAAAAATATATATATACTTTCACTGCCTCGAGCATTGACCCTTAAAAAGCTTATAAAGTTATCGGCAAAAAGAAGATGAGAGACTGTGACACCTTCTCGGTTTAGTTCCATATAAATTAATTTCCTATCTCTTCTTCCCTGAGCTTGAGGATCACACGAGTCTAAAATTCTCAATATGGGTAAAAAAGAAGGGAGTGAGGGGTCTTCTTGTGCGAGACCTCTTGGTGGCTTGAAGAAATATATTGAACCCCAATTGATGGCAGTGCCCCATTTTCTTCCTTTCATTCAATTTTTTTCCTGAGCAATTTATAAAAATCCGACCAAAAATCCAATATATATTGAGAAATTGATTTTTTTTTTTTTTTTTTCCTAATGCATACAAGGGACACTTCAAAAAACTTACCCCAAAATCACCAACTTCTACTACAGGTTGAGCTCAAATGAAGTTAGGACTTGGGAGTATCCGTTTTGTTAATTAACCGATATAATATCCAATTCAGTCTGTCGTAACAATTCTCTTCCTTTTTCTCTCATTTTCTTTGAAGGTAGCTTACCTAACATAACATGTCTTGTGCTTTATCACTTACACTCACTAATTAATGTCTACTATTGGAAGAAAAATTAGGTACCTATGCATGCCTATAGGAGCAGAGCTTTACTAGGCATTTTTTTTGTCAATTTTTTATTCGTGTGGTGCCACTGCATTAATTGGAAGCTGGTGAAGAAAATAATATGGTATTTAATTACCATTATTGACCTTGACGAACTTAGAAAATTATGTCAAGAAAACGGTCTTTAACAACAATTAGGATAACAAATTACAAATGGGTATTATATTTGTGGGTGTAGTGTACGTGAGAGAGAGACATGGATTGCCGGATGAAGATAGGGACTGGTCGGTGATGGAAAGAACTGTCGAAGGCAAAAGGTTTGAAGACTGAAGTTATATTATGTGATATATCTTATATATTTTTTGTACAAGAGGAAGAGATGAGAGAACCAAAGTGTGAAAGAGATAAAATAATATTTTAGGAACTTTTATAATAGGGGGCATTTGTGAAATTTTAGGGGGGCATGATATAAAATTAAAAAAAAAATTCCAGAGGGAGCATTTGCCACACTGGTCCCCTTATAGGTCGTGGCTGATAATTGGTTTTCCTCAAATACATATTAATACGATTTTATTGAGGATACTTTGACAAAAGTGATCAACCTAGATGCTCTATAGAAATATGCCACACACAAGTCTTCAAGTTGGGGTCTGTCTTTGAAAAGTTGAATGCTTAAATCTCAGTCTTCAAGTCGTCAGTCCATGTTTTTACAATGGGTGTGTGGATAACCATTCTTTTGTGCACTAAGAACCTAAAATTCTCTCCCAAATCTGCTAAATTTTAATTAACCCATTTGATTTTGATTCCTCCAATTCATTAAAAAAGTCGGATATGACTATTCACAAAGGCACTGCGTGAGCCTACTATATGAGGTGTCAGTGTCGCGTAAGCCACTGATTGGTTATATCGATTGTCGCAAAAAATATAATTATTCACCAGTTTATAAAGTAATGCTAAGAATTTAATTATCCAGGATCCAGCAAATTATCAAATCTCATAAATATTCATAATTTCATATATGTGTATATATACTTGGGTGTACTGTAGAAAAAACTGTCGACTCTAAATTATTGTAGCAGCGAGTCAAAAGGTAGCTAAATTATTGTAGCAGAGAGTCAAAAGGTAGCAAAAGACATACATACCATTGTTAGTGTTTTACTTCCAGCAAGTCCTTCAACAGTCTAAGAAGCTTCAATGAGCAAACAAGTGAAAGGGTCCAAACACGAACAAATGGCTAACAATCTTTATTGGATTGGAACCCAATCCAATAAAGATTTGCTGGTTTTATTGGTAGAAAAATATTAATTAAACGTCGGACTTTAATCTGTGAGTAAGTTGTTTATTAAAATAATAATTAGTGTGGGGTGGAAAAATTTGATACGATCCGTTGACATGACTTAAACACGATACAGTTAAATGGGTGTATATTGACCTTAAACAGTACGGGTCATAAACGGACTAACACGATTAACCCGTTTAATTAATTATGTCGCATTTGGATTAAGGTGGTTGAACCCGTATAAATTGTGTATATATTTTTTAACTATACGTGTCATAAACAAATTTATATTTAAGTCTAAAATAATTATCTAAACTTGTGTATTATAATTTACTATTTTGTAGACTAGAGAGTATTTAGTAATTTGTTTAGATTAAAACATATATTTTTTTAGTATTTATTTTTGATTGAGTAGTATTAATAATTTAAATAATATAATTTTTTTTTTTTAGTAAATAAGTCATTAAATGGGTTATTTGTGTAATCCATTTAATAAATAGGTCGGGTTAGTGTTGAAAGTTCCTGACACGAATATTAAATGTATCGGATTGAACTATTTAGTACAATAGTCTTAAATCGACATGACATGATTATGATATACGAACACGAATTGCGATCCCTAATTAATGGATTTAGTTAGGCCTTGGGTTAAGAAGGCCCACGAGAGACAGAGCGAACTGGATGGCCCGAGTTTAAATTGGGGAGTCGATGATGATTTGTGAAAGATGAAGATAAAGAGTCCAACTGGTTGGCCCAACTCTAGTTGGACCCTGTCTTGATTGATTTTGAAACAGTTCGAAACTTCGAGTCGGTGATGACTTGTGATTTGTGAAACCTTTTCATAAACCTTACTTAACGTGTTTAATAATGTATATCAACTTTTATGTTAAACAACCTTTAAAAATATGTATATACTTTCCACTGTCCATTTTAATCGTTTCGTTTTGGGAATTCAAATTTTTTAAAATAATTGTTTTTGAGTTTAATTTTTTAAAAATAATTATTTTTATAATATTTTTGTTATTGTATTAATAATGAATGAATTATCAAATTTACCGGGGCTCAAAATAATGTGATTGTCTACTTTTTATATGTTCAATTGATAATATTACAAAAAATAATACATTAACTTGTTAGATGGGACAATTATTTTGGAAATGATAAAAAAAAAAAAAATAAATAAACACTTATTTTTGGACAGAAAGAGTATTAAACACTTGAACTTATTGTTACAGTCTTGTTGCAATCCCACATCGAATTGTGTATTGAAATGTTTAGAGCGAGCAATGGAATGCTTGCATCCATCTGGTGGAACTTTTAAGTTGGAAACCTATCATGCATGAAGTGCTGTAACTAGTTTGGTCTATTTGTCAAAGTGAATTAATTAAGACCATTGATAACTTAAGGTGAGAGGAAAAACTAATCTATCTCGAAATCATATATAATTATTATTGTTTTCTTTGAAAAGTTATCATTATTGAAAATTCAGAGTATGTATTATTTGATAATTCAATTCAACTCTAAAAGAATAAGCGCTTATTCAATTAAATACGTTCATAACACAATTTAAATATTTTTAATATATACTTAAAATTAATATATATATATATATATTAAAAAATATTTATTTTTTAATTATTACTTAAAAAATTCAACTTTTAAAACTTTTAATAATTAAAATTTTATTTTATCAAACAACCGCTAACTTGAAAATATGTAAATTGAGTAATATGAGTATAGGTGGAGGTCCAAGTGACACCACTAACGTCACGTGACATTAGTGAAATTAGTGGTGGTGTATACTCACATCATTAAGTAGTGAATGATAAAATAAATTAAATAAATTGTTTAATATATATTTCAATTTAACGATTAAATATGAAAATCTCGTCGGATGAGTCCTCCATATCATTTACTCTCTTTCATTGCCTTCTGACACGTACATTGACTTTTTGTCACTCTATAAAAATCCTAAAATAGACCGTTTCTTGAACATCTATTTTTACAGTATTTTTCTTCAGAAAAAATGTTTAGTTTTCTATAAATTAAAAGAGAAAAGCCATTGATTTTTTAAAAGTTCCACCACATAAATGATAAAATGATACACTCCCTCCCTCTTAATTGAAGTGTGTTTAGTAATTTTTAAAGAGATATGTAAAATATGCATTATTTTTTAAAAAAATTATTAATTTATTTTTTTAAATTTTGAACATTCAAATTTCAAATTTTAAACTCAAAAAATATGTATATAAAGATGTAAAATATATTATTTGAAAAAAAAAATGAATAATTATTTTGAGACAGACCAACAAATAAAAAAAGTATGACACTTTTTGTTTTTTTAGAGTATTTCCACCCGTTGTGTATATATTTTTGTGTAAATCTGGTGTGTCATTATAGATTTACACAAAAAAATTAAATTATTTTTTTTTAACTCCAGTGTTGTTTTATACCTTTTATGTAAAAATATATTCTTCAAAAATAACTAACCAATATCATGCATGTACCACCATATAATTTTTATAAATCTGATTTCTTAATGGAATGAGAAAAATAAAGGAAAAAGAAAATATGACAATAATTTTATACATTGATGATGTAATATTATATTTTAACAGGTTGTCGATGATAGAAAAAAAAATTATATATTTTATAAAAAAAATATTTTAACAGACTGATGGATATTATCAAATACGGATATTATCAAATAACTTTCTCATACCATAATTAAGGAATCATTCCTATTCTTTCAACTTCATTTTCGAACATTATTTTCTTCCAAACTAAACAAAACCTCACGCACGCAACCTCCCAAAAAAGAATTGATTCCAAAAAGCAATCCGTGTGGAGGCTTTGAGCCCTTACGCGCGAATGAGATACGCCTCCTAATCTCACGCGCTTCGTCCCGTCAAAACGGACAAAACCAATTCCATAAATATACTCGCAACTCCCAAAACAAAATTTGGGAGCTCTCTGCGCAACTACCAAGTGTTTTGATCTTCTTCTACTCTCTGTATCATCTTTCAGGTAAATTTTACTTTATCTGTCTATGTATATGTGTTTGTTTGTGTGTGTGTAAACGCACTTGTTTGATTTTGAGGGTAATTCATCATCACTATAACCTTTAATTGTCCCTTATTAGGTTTTCAATTGCCACAATTAAAAACTTTATTCTGTTCCATTATAAAAAATCAAACTTTAGATCGATTCCTTCTGAACTGGTTTACTTAGAGAAAATTATGCAAGACTTGAATGGTTTATACTATCGAAGGCAGTCCCGATTTCGCGGAGTTTTCAATGGAAGTTGTGCCATAGCGTTGTTTCTGTTCTTCTTCTTCCACGAAAAAGGTCATTTTCTCACCAACTCACCTCCTGTTAAGTGGGGTCTGAGAGGTGTGTCATATGTTGGGATTGATGATCAGGCTGAGGTTATTGATAGGCGAATTGCTGAAGTTGGGGTGAATGATGGGTCAGTAGAGAATAATTTGACTGCAAAAAATATTGTGGCTTGCTCTGGATTGTATGAACACAAAGGTTATCGGAGCCCATGTGAGTTTTTGAGAGCCAATCCTCAGTGCACGTCCGGAGGTGTTTTCGATTACATAGTTTTCTTTTATTGTGATTGCGAAGAACATAGTTTGTTGGGCTATGTAGTTCTCGTTGTTTGGTTAGCTGCTCTGTTTTATTTACTGGGTAATACTGCTGCGGATTACTTTTGTTGTTGTCTTGAGAAGCTCTCAAATCTGTTGAAGTTACCACCAACAGTTGCTGGTGTTACTCTGCTTCCTCTTGGAAATGGAGCGCCTGATGTGTTTGCCAGCATTGCTGCTTTTGTGGGCAGCAACGCTGGTGAAGTTGGTCTTAATAGCGTGTTGGGTGGAGCTGTGTTTGTTACTTGTATTGTTGTAGGGACTATTTCTATGTGCGTGGCCGAACAAAGGGTTAAGATAGATAAAAAGTGCTTTTTAAGGGATGTGTGTTTCTTTCTCTTTACTGTTGTGTCCCTATTTATTATTCTGATTGTTGGTAAGGTGAGCATTGGGTGCGGGATTGCATTTGTTTCAATCTATGCGGTTTATGTCTTCTCTGTTGTTGCAAGTGAAATTTTGAAAAAACGCGGCTGGAGGTTAAGGTTGGGTTTGGTTATGCCATTGCTACCTGTTTCAAGATGTATGTTTTCTAATGAAAATGAAGAGGATGAATCCATGAGTGCATCACTTATTGAGTCTGATTCTGAGAATGATGTGCCGCTTCTCCAAACTAAGGTGCCCCATTGGATGTGGACTTCCCATGTGGCAATTTATTCAAATGAGGGTGTGAAGGATAGAATAGAAGAGAGCCCAAAGCCTTTATGGGGTTGGAATGAAGCGGAGATGGCGAATCATGGCTCCACTTGTTCCAAGTTATGTGCATTGCTGGAAATGCCCCTGGTGCTTCCGAGACGGTTGACCATTCCTATAGTTGAGGAGGAGCGGTGGTCGAAGGGGTATGCTGTGGCCAGTGCTTCATTCGCACCCATGCTTCTGGCATTACTCTGGAACACCAAAGATAATGTGGGTTCTCTGGGTGGAGAAATTGCATATCTTATTGGTGCTGCAGTTGGTGGTGTTCTTGGCATTCTTGCATTTATATACACCAGTGCTGATCATCCACCCCGCAAGTTCTTATTTCCATGGGTTTTTGGGGGTTTTTTTATGAGTATTATTTGGTTCTACATTGTTGCAAATGAGCTTGTTGCTCTACTGGTCGCATTAGGAGTGATATTTGGAATCAAGCCATCAGTTCTCGGATCAACTGTATTGGCATGGGGCAACTCAATGGGTGATTTAATGTCAAATGTGGCTCTGGCAATGAATGGTGGAGATGGTGTGCAGATTTCCATGTCAGGATGCTATGCAGGGCCTATGTTTAACACACTTGCTGGTTTGGGGATCTCAATGCTGATTGGGGCCTGGTCAAATAGACCAATGTCATATGTACTTCCATGGGATAGTAGCTTGTATTTTACAATGGGGTTTCTCATGTTAGGGCTTGTTTGGGCACTAATTGTGCTGCCACTAAATGATATGCGCCCTAGCAAGCTGTTGGGAATGGGCCTTATAACCATCTATTTGGTATATCTCTCATTCAGGTTGAGTGCTGCTATTGGTGTTGTGTCATTCGAAGGTTCGATTTAACCCTTCTATTGGTCACTATCACAAAGAACTGAGTGATCATTGATGATTTCTGAATTTGGGAAAGTAGTCTGTTCAACACGGTCAGTTCATCCTTTTCCCTTTATTTTGTAGTAGTAGTATAGTTACTCTTGCTAGGCTTGTTGACCCTGACTTGGAGGCAATGACAGTTCATGAGTTGTCTCAGCAATATGTACATATTATAGAAGCATTATATATCGTTGTTTATACCTTACAAATTTCACATTTTAAAAGAAATTTGTTTGGGTTTAATTTTATGAACTCTTATATTTTGTGTGTGTGTATGATGGACTTCCTTTTAAGCATCGGTTTCTCTATCTGTTTCCCAGTGTTTTTGCATTGTATTGTAATACGGTAATATGTAGAAAGAGAATAGACTTTGGTTACACTTTGCATCATAACTGAAGATGGTTGGTACCTGCGTTATTACCATATTTTGATACTCTGTCCTCTAAGATTTTTTTAAATATATATAAAAAATTAAAAGAGCAGCCCATATACTACGACAACAACGACAGTGTTTGCACTTAAAACATAAATATCTCCTTGAGCTGAAATTTCATGGACTCCTTGATTGTGGTTGTATACTTGTATGTAATAATTTTCAACTTTGTCGTCATATTTTTAGTAAATGGTGAAGTTTTTTAGAGCTATGCAGAGATTTTGCTGTTAAAAGCAGAGGTCATTTTTCAACTACGTTGGGGGAAGATCCCCTTAATTATGTTGGTTGTGGTTTGAAGTCTGTCTAAATTTTTTTTTTTTTGGCAATGTGAGAGAAACTTTGGTAGTAGTGAAATGAGTTAAAAGATTATATTTCGAAACAGGCGTTGGTATTGCAGTGTGATGGTTTGTGTTGATCCCTGGAAGTTTGATGTTCTTTGGGTCTGTTGGAACTGGAATTCTAGCTTTAGATTGCATCCATTGCAATATTAAAACCCTCTCATGTTTCAAGAGTCGATTGTTTGGTTGATTTGCCTCTTAAAGGTTCCCTTGTTGGGATAATTCCTCCACTTTTGAGTTATTTAAAGATGTTCAATTTTCATGGCTATTAGTCAACTCATTTTTTTCTGAAAAACATATTTGCTATGATTCATTAAAACTACCTTAATCAAATATTAATATTTTTTAGCTAATTGCAAACATACTTTGGATTGTATTAAAAACAAACTCCAGAGGAACCAAGATGGGCTTCCTTTGAATTGGATTATAAGATGGTCGAACCATCTGATTGGATGAGATGTTCGAACCAATAAGTGTACAGAAATGGCATTCTTGCAATTACAGTAAATTAGGGGGTAGGATGGTAATAGAATTTTGCTTCATTTAGTGGTTCCCGAACCGCTGTCATTGGTGTGAACAAACACCGAAGACACTCGATCTAAAAACTTCGTTGGCATCTACCATTCCACCACCAAATCCTCTCTCTCTATCTATATACTACTGTATTATATGTATGTATGTATATAGATAGTCCTCTATTGCTCTTTTTGCTGCGAGTTGAGGTGATAGGGGTTTTTTTAATAATAAGGGAGGTGAAGATGATGCACATGACCATATACTGGGGCAAAGACGTCTTGCTCTTGATCGACTCGTGGAAGACCGATTCATGGACGAGTTACGCACTCACTTTACTCGCATGCTTCATCTTCTCCGTCTTCTACCAGCACATGGAGGATCGACGGATCAGATTCAGATCACTCGTTTCGTCCAATCCCTCCCAGCCGTCAATCGAGGCGCCTCTGGTTGCAAAATCAAGATCCAACCGGCCGGCCAACCCGAATAGGTTGATCTCGTCTGACGATGTCTTGACTGTGGAGAACCCATGCGCTTGTTCTTGATATCTCAATTCTCTCTCTATGTATACATACACAGTAGTGAATGTAATTTGCTAAATATTGTATTTGATGTATTAGCATCAATAATTGCTGTAATTTACTTCATAATTACATTTCCTACGAAAGTTTCTTCAGATTGACTGCATTTCTTTTAAATTAGTCTTTGTTACCGTTCTACTGAATGTTTTTTCTACCAAGCAAATCAATAATTCCGCATTGCGCTGTTTTGAGGAAATAGAAAAATGAATTGTTGAAATGGGATATACTTCAGTTACACAGAAAAATGTAAAGAAATTAAGCATAATGCTTAGGATTAGCTCGACGGAGTTAACACTAATCTTTTTTTGCCATGTCTTTGATACATAAATGAGAGCATTGAAAATTGTGAATTTTAGCAGCGGGTAGATCCGTCGTAGATGTAATCCAGAACGGCAATTACGCCGAAGACAAATGCCTGGTCAATCCCGGGTTTCACAATTACATGATACAGATCTTTGCTTGCCATATTGTCCTCCACCTCTCTCTTCACCCCAACCTGTGTGTGCATAACACCAATATAAATGTCATTATCTCTCTCATATATATATATATATATATATATATATATTGACGGTTATCAAATGTGATTTTTTGGGGCATTATTTGTACACAGTGATTGTTTTTCGAGAAATCCCATTCTCACACTAAACACACAATTTGAGTGATAGAACACTACTGACCTGTGCCACAATGTTGCCTTTATAGTCCAGGATACTGCAAGCTTTATCAGAAAAGTGACCCTTGATTTCAAAATCAGAGTTTTTGGAGCATCCTTTAGGTTCAATGGAGATTCTTATTGGATTGTTCTTCACAATACATAAGTTTGGTTCTTTTAAACTGAATACCAACTTTTGTGATCCATCATAGTCCAATGTATAACCCTTCCACTGCCTGTTAATGCTTAATGCTTCAACAATCCCTCCCTGCAATAAAATAAACGCAGAGACGTTGAAAATCATAAAATGGATTAAGGGTCTTTTTTTTTGTAAAAGAAACACAATATTATTAATAATATGTAATGATGGAATCAATATATGTGTGTGTGTAGTAGAACATACATTCCACGGAGTGAGGGCAAACCTTTGGGCTAAGATGAGAAGCAAAACATCTCCATCACCATGACACCCTCCAATGGTATATTGGTATGTCACATGTAATGTATATCCTTTGTGTAAATTGTTCATTCATGCATGCCCTGCATATAATAAAATTTATATATGTATGAATGGATTTGAGTGTCTTATGGGTAGAAAAATGAGAGCATACCTTTCGGCGGATGAGAAGCAAATCATCTCCATCCCCATCCCTTAAAATCAATTCCCCTTTCTTGCCAAGAATTCCACACCCATCTACCCTGAACACAACATTTTGGCTACAATCAGTGACCACGAAACCTCCTCCGTACACAACATGTGGCCTCCTCCTAACTGTAAGAACCACCTGAGACGATGAACAGAACATCTTGCTTACAATGGGCATCGTATTATCTTTTGCAGCCATCTCTCTCTTCAAGAAACTCTCAAATGTACTTCAATTCTTTCAAGCTTCATGCTTATCCCTGAGACTTTCTATTTATAAACAATGTAAAGGAAAAGGATTGGATGTTCTGGAAATTCGAATGGTTTGGCAAGTCTTGACTTTGAATTTCAGAAGAATCCTTTTGAGTGTTGGAACCACCAACCTTAAACATGTTAGAAATGAAACAAACAAACATATGAGGACTGCCAAGTCTTCTAATTAGCCAATCACATAAACACTTGGATGCGTCGAATTAATGCTTTAATTAATTGGGTTTAGATATTACTTTGAGATTGTGTAAAGTTATGAAGAAATTCAAAAAAGGGTATGTATGCTTTTTGAAATTTGGCAGCCTAATCACCAAAAGAGAATATTTCAAGCATATCAATCTTCAATTTTTTGGGAACACGTGTCACATTTGCTTAATTAATTTGGGGTATCTTATTGAAATTGGCTTTGGAGTAACGTTCAGATCACTCTAATGGAATGATCCTGCATGTGATCATCAATTGCATCCACCCAGTGGGATGAGGTCAAGCTGACTTTGTTAACAATCACTCACTCTTTGTAGCATTTCTGTTTGGTATATGCTTGGTATACCAAACAGAAGTAAACACAATAAAATTAATTATAAAAGAAAATAATAATAATAATAATCTTAAAAAAAAAAAAAAAAAGTCTCATTTTCTCTTCATTCCCTTCTTCTCTTTAGTTTTTTTATGTTTCTTATTGGAGTATAAGAATTAAATTCCCTATTTCACTGCAGCTTATGTATATCAACAACAACAACAACTAAGAAAAGTCTCATTTTCTCTTCATTCCCTTCTTCTCTTAGTTTTTTTATGTTTCTTATTGGAGTATAAGAATTAAATTCCCTATTTCACTGCAGCTTATGTATATCATTCTGGTAATTTCATGACTATGTTACAATGGATTTTGACCGATGTGAGAAATAAAATAGAAACTTTTGTGCTCATTTTTCTATCAAACCATTGCGGCCAATGTGATGAGATATGATAGCCTCTCGTCATGTCATATCCATGTTATTTGAATCATTATGACAATGGGTTGTCCAAGATCTAATCAAGTGGAGTAAATTATATCTTTGACAACAAAGTTTCTACAATGGAAATATATTTTTTTAAAAATAAAATATAAAAAAATATTGAAAAAGCTTCTGCAACCCCCCAAAAGAAGATGCTAGCCCAGAACTTAAACCCAATCCATGTATTTGTAGCCTTGGGTCTTGGGCAATCGTGGATATACTTAGGCCCACTGTCCAGGACAAGGAGGCCCAGCCCTTAATCTCATGAGTACTCATGAGTCGACATGTCACTCAAATAAAAAGCTGCAAAATTTATGGCCATTTTAAATGCCAAAGTATGGAATTGCATTGGCATACAGTAGTAGGTCACGTCCTTGTCCTTAATTACACTGCAATGAATGACATTATTTGCCCTTTTAGTTTTTTTTTTTTTTTTTTTTTTTTCAAGACATTTTAGTTCACATGACACTCATTTAAGTGGTAAATAAAACGCTTGATGATTTGGATATGTTTTTGTCTAATGTGATTATTCAGAATTCGAAATAAAAAGATTAGAACAATTTTGTCTTTGTTGAATATTGTTCTTGTCAAGTGAGGTGGTATTGCTAGAGTGAAAATGTCACACATTTTAGTTGCTCCTCCACTCTGATCTTGAGTTCGTCTCCCCTCCCCCCTCTTAACTCCAAAGTCCTAACTAATAATCATTGCCAAAATTATCATGTATATATATACTACGAAAAAGTCATTACTGAACTCGATTCTCTCCCTTTCTCTTTGAGGATGGAGGTATTGTTAGATCAAAATCTTACATTCATTTTTCAGACTAATTTGAATGACAAATTTAAATATATCAAGGGTTCATTGAGAATAAAAAAGGGGTATGAGAGGAGAAGGAAATGTTTTCGTCATTTTCTCTTAAAAAAATACACTAAAACAATGACATTAAATAAAATTCCTCCCTTCATTTTTACTTTTAATATCATTACAAAATTCGAATTTGTACCCAAGGATTAGAAAAAAGTGAAGGGTAGCTTTTGAAGAGCCAAAAAAACCTTTAATATAAACTTTTGGTAGCACTTCACACCTTATTTTAAAATTTGTGCATATAACACATTTAATGTTTTAACATTGTGCATAAAGATCTTTCAAAATACTTTTTCCATAAATTTAACATTGTAATGACCATTATGCCCTTTCGCTCTTTCCAAAATGCCCATATCAAACCTTACACTTCCAAAAATATCCTGTGCAGCGAGGAACTCCAGCAAGCTGTCCCGTGAGCTCCATTATTTCCAGTAGTGAAGATGAGTTTGGAAGGTCAGCGGCAGCTGTTAGTGTGTGGTCCAAAGTCCAAACCAGGCGCTTGACACAACGAGCTTCTTTAACAAGAGACCAACAACGACTCTAAGCACTTCAACAACGACGATGCCTGCGATCTCTGCCGCGACACGACGGCGTACACTCTTACTTGCACTACTGTGATACCTCCGGATTTTCGGATGCGGGTTGGCCAGGCCCACGCCCGATAACCCGAGGATATCAAATCAATTAGCAATTTAACGAACACAGAATACAATATAGGAAACAGGAATGAATAAAATTTTGCTGAAAGAACTAAAATGAAAATCCTTTAATGGAAAAAAACCTCCGAATAAACTTTATATGCAAGAATTAGTTTGAATACACCAACTTCTCCTTTACTTCTAATACAACTCGGGAATCCATCTCATGGACCCCTACTAAAAATATTCCAATACTGAACATGAACAACTGCAAAGAAAACCAATGATCATAATGAGAAAAAAATACTCCTACGTCGTCGGTGGAGTGAATAACTGTATCTGCTCAGCACGATTAAGCTCTAAGCCTGGAACTGACGAACACCTGTAAAAATAAGAGTGGGTCAGGCCCACATGCAAGTTCTATCCAAACTGCAATCCAGACAGTGACCCGATACTCAGATACACCCTAGATATCTCAACAATAGCTATCTAGTCCATACATATATAAATATCCACACTAAGGGACATTCACTGGACTATGTAGGGGGTTTCAACCTGAATAGAAGGCAACATGCAAAAACGCACCCAAAGGTGGGCATGAGTACCTAGACCTAACAAGGTACACCTCAACCTACTATAACCAGCTACGCATCCACTGCATATACGCACCCTAACCAACGAGTCTGAGACTCAAGCTCATCTCGCGGTACCATAATCATATATTTAAAATCCATCCAAACCAGAGTATGTCATTCAATTTCTTTGTTGATCTGACATAAGACGTATAATCAGTTAACCACTCAACTTATTCAGTTGATATGAGTTAACTCCAAACAACAGTAAATCCAAATGGTCACTTAACTTACTCAGTTGATCTGACTTAAACAAAATTAGGATTCAATATTTTACAATCCTTTCCTTTAATCCAATAGGTTAGGTTTATGCGTTTTGAGCTAAACCATCCCTAGTATGACACCGTCCCATACCGGTGCATACAATCCTCCATATCCATGTAATTGACATAATATATATTAATCCAGCAATTAAAATCCAAAACCATGTAAAAATTACAGACTATGATAAATAGTACAGCAATTTAATATCCAAAACCAAAAGCCAGGTAATTGCAGAATAGTTCATATAATACTTTAGCAATTTCAATTCAAAAACATCATCCAGTTAATTGTAGAATAATATATACCATTTCACAATTAACATCCAAAACCATGTAAATTACAACATATAAATTAAAGTTTAGCAATTCACAGTCCAAACCAATATTTAAATAATTGCAGAACTGTGTTTAACATTCAGCAATTCAAATCCAAGCTTATAACCATATAGTTGCAGGAACCGATTTAATAATTCAACAAATAGCATCCCGAGCATGCATAGATCAGAACTAATAATTAAATGACCTTCTCATGCATTTTAAATAAGTTTTATAATCATACTAAATCCGATCAAATTGCTAAAATTTAATTAAGCAATTATTCCGTCTTCCATCCGTTAACAGCATAGAAAGTTCATTAATTTTATATTGTTTGTCCCATTGATTTAGAAATCAACTTTAATCAGTTCAAGGTTTTAATCACACCCAAAATTAAATATTTAACCCCTCTGTGAAATCCTATTAAATTTCTGAAATTTAAACAAGCCACTCAGTTCCTTTCTTCTGTTAATAGCATGCATAGTTGTAGATTTTTACACTGCTTCATCCTTTATCATAGAAACTTAAACCATGCAATAATAAGTTTAATAACACTTAAAATTAACCATTTAGACCCTCTGTAAAACCCCAAAGTCAATAGAATAGTTCCCATGCTCCAACAGTAAATAAACTGTTCGTAAAAAAAAAAAATTCGGAGAACACTATTGAAAAGAGCCTTCTCCAAAAAACTGGAGAAGGCTCTAAACCACCTAGAGCCTGCTCTAAAAAACTAGAGAAAGCTCTAAATCACCTAGAGCATGCTCCACATTTTAGAGCCTTCTCTTTCTCCCTTTGAGCCTTCTCCTTTGCTTCCTATTCCACCTGCATAATTGCATCTCTTATGCACTGAAAGCTTATAACAATATCTAGATTGCATGTTAATCATCTTAGTCTACTTCCCACACAATTCCATACTGAAGAATCGTCCACACAGTGCACCCAAAAATCCACAATCGAACCAAACAACGCACAAAACTGCTTCTGTAAACAAATAGAATCACAGAGCCTTCTCCAAAATAGTGGAGAAGGCTCAATCTGCCTAGAGCCGGCTCTCCAACAAGGGGGAGCCGGCTCTCCTTGCCTAGAGCCGGCTCTCTCCCTTTTGAGAGCCTCGACTTTGTTCCCTCTTCGTTTCCGACCATCTGCCTCGTCTCCGGCCCTTTCCTACCCCTCTGTTCTTCCTTAAAACTTGTCTTCACTGTCTAATATATATACAATGTTAATCCCCAGTCCTTAATTTACCACAGTACAAGTTAATATAGTGATATAAAACAACGACCAATTTAATACTTTGAAACAAACAACGAAGAACAGAGTTGCAAGAA